GTACAAAATTATGTTTCCTATTTCTTAGCAATACAACATTTTTAACAAAACTAGATATATTTCTGTTAAAAGTTGTATATAGGATTTCATTTTCAAACTATTTGAATTTTCAAATAATTTTAAATAAAAGATTTCAATTTATCTATTTGGCAATCTTTTAAGTAAATTCGGAATTCAATATTGAAATATGGCTTAATTTGGTTTTTTTAAAAATAATTATAGGTTTACTTTAGCTTCTCATTTTAACCCTGTAAATTAACTAATTTTAATTAATTTATGATTATCATTTTGAAATCAAGTAGCATTAATTAAAAAAAAATCCAATTTATATACTCTATCCACACAATGGTAAACTATTTCAAAAAATTAAATGTATCATCTTATATGCACTAAACTACAGCTCATAATGAAAAAATGTACTTTAAATTTGCATGTACACTTTTAAAAACACAACTAAATATTAATAAAAATATTTTTTTTTAAAACATTAATCTTGAAAAAAATAGATGAAACAATAGACGTGTTTACTTTATCAAAACAATACACATGTTATTAACACGTCAGCAGTTACAAAATGAAAACTAACTGATCCACCCCTAAGCAATGTTAAAGCCGATTGCTTAGCAAAATCGGCTCTATCTTTGTATTCGGTTCAATCCGGTTCATAATCGGTTTAAGTTTCAATCATAGTTTTTGATCCAAAAAAAAATGGAAACTAACTGATATGAGAAACCACAATTGATAGAAATTGAAAAACACAAGAAACACAAGAAAAAGGAAAATGTATAAATTAATTAATGTAAAGACAAAATTAAGTTAGGTAAAATGATAAGTATAAATTTTATAAAAAGAATTATTGCCAAAAAAAACAACCGAGGTTTCCCTAATCATGTCGTAAACATCAATTTCATCCGATCAACAAATATACAGGCCCCACATTTGGTGCTTAAAATGAATCACATACGTCCACGTGTCACAATAGCCATCTGGACCGTACTCTGTTTCTATTACACAGTACATCAGATACACCATATAGTTCTCTCTCCTTCGTCAACCTTTCAGACTTCAGTTTTTGAACCAAATCTCCCCTGTACGATCAGACGCAGCAGAGTATCGATCTAAATCCGGCGAAGATTCCACCGGAATCTGAATCCGGAGAAGATCCAGAAACAATGAAATCGGAGACTTTAACATTAGTTCTGGTGTATCTCGCCGGGATCATGGAACGAGCCGACGAGTCTCTGCTTCCAGGAGTTTACAAAGAAGTAGGAGAAGCTCTACACGTGGACCCAACTGCTCTTGGAACACTAACTCTGTTTCGGTCTATTGTTCAGTCTTGTTGTTACCCTTTAGCCGCTTACTTGTCTTCCCGACATAACCGAGCACATGTCATCGCTCTTGGAGCTTTCCTCTGGGCTACCGCCACTTTCCTTGTCGCTGTCTCCACCACTTTCTTCCAGGTTTGACTTCATAACCTTTCCTCTGTTATATTATTTATAGTTAACTGAAATCAGATCTGTTGAGTTTTTAGAAATTTGTTGATCTGGGAAGAAATATAGAATAAAGTCTTGAGCTTTGATGTAGTTTGATTAGAAATCGATTTGAATGGTTTGGGTATAATCAAAGATCATTGCTTTTGTTTGTTTTTATGTGAAGGCATGAAAACTTATTAGACTCTGTCATTTGTGTTATTCAGGGGATTTTGCTTCAAGTCATTTGCAATGATTATAATAAACTCATTGCAAGATTTTCGTTCGAAAATTGAATTTGGAATATCATTTGGCCACAAGGTTGGATTTGAAATGGATTTTTTAAGTGTTGCTATGTATTGTTTGGTGGTTTCTCTCCCTTTGGTTAAAAATCAGGTGGCAGTATCAAGAGGTTTGAATGGGATAGGACTCGCCATTGTGACACCCGCGATTCAGTCGCTAGTCGCTGATTCAACCGAAGATAGTAACCGTGGCAGGGCGTTTGGATGGTTAGGACTAACTTCAAACATTGGTTCTATACTTGGAAATCTCTGTTCTATACTCTTTGCTTCCACAACTTTCAATGGCATCTCTGGCTGGAGAATCGCCTTCCTTTTGGTAGGATTCGTAAGCGTGATAGTCGGTATTTTAGTCCGCCTTTTCGCCAACGACCCTCATTACACCGACAAGAATATCACTAAGCATGACAAAGACAAACCTTTCTGGTCAGACATAAGAGATCTATTGAGAGAAGCGAAGATGGTTATGAGGATTCCGTCTTTCCAAATATTCGTAGCTCAGGGAGTTTCGGGTTCTTTCCCCTGGTCAGCTTTAGCCTTTGCACCATTGTGGCTAGAGCTCATCGGTTTCTCCCACAAAACAACCGCGGTTCTAATAACTCTCTTCACCATTGCTTGCTCTATTGGACATTTGTTTGGAGGATACGTGGGAGACGCTCTCGCCAAGAAGTTCCCAAACGCCGGAAGAATACTTCTCTCTCAGATAAGCTCTGGCTCGGCCATTCCTTTAGCCGCGATTCTGCTTATCGGATTACCTGATGATCCGTCCACGGCTTTTAGCCACGGTCTGGTTCTTATCATCATGGGATTATTCATCTCATGGAACGGTTCAGCTACAAACGGGTAAGTAAACGCATCGTCTTGAAAATTTTGGTTATTTGTTACTTAATCCAAGAATCTACTTTGAAATGGTTTTATACAGTCCAATATTTGCAGAGATTGTTCCTGAAAGAGCGCGGACAAGCATCTACGCGTTAGACAGATCATTTGAGTCGATATTAGCTTCTTTTGCTCCTCCTATTGTAGGAATGCTAGCTCAAAACGTCTATGGATATAAACCAATCCCTGAAGGATCTTCAAGCTTGATCAAGATTGAAACAGACAGAGAGAACGCAGCATCGCTCGCTAAAGCACTCTACTCAGCGATCGGGATACCGATGCTGATCTGTTGCACGATCTACTCGTTCCTATATTGCACGTATCCTAGGGACCGAGACAGAGCCAAAATGCAAGCCTTGATCGAGTCAGAGATGTTGCAACTCA